TCCAATTGTTCGTTGGCAGGTGGTTGAGATCGTGACTTGCTTTCAACACAGTAACTGGTAACTTGAACAAGAGCATACCAATCACATAGCATGTTGGTTTTGTTCTTCAACTGGTCCTTTAAAACCTACACAGTAAAAAAAGGGGAGAGGAGGGCTACAGAACATTAAGGGTATTTGAAAAAGACATAAGGTGTCTCTAAAATTACTTACTTGATGTGTGTATGTATACTTTAAATTACTTTACGCTATGAGCCATAGACTATCTAACACAAACACAAGTGCCTGGCCTCAGGAGCCTCCTCTTGAGCTGTGACTCCACGAGAACCACAAAACAACATGGCTGCCCTTGGATGCCTCTCAGAATTTGAAGGTAAGGTCCTATTTGCCGAACGCACCACACAGGACTTGCAGAAATAGAGCCGGTACTGATCTGAAAGCTTCCTCCCCGAGGACTGGTTCTCATGGACTCAGAAGATCTTATGCGAGCTACTGGGGGAGAGGGGCGATTGGCAGTCCCACTCACCGGTAAAGCCTGTGGATGACAAGACTGACTAAAGTGGCAAGAACTTCACAAGGGCACAACAGTGGTGTCTGTATCCTGGGAGCAACCAGCAGTTATCTAGTCAGTCTTAAGGTGCAGTTAGCAGGAGAGAAATGCACTCCTGGCACTGGAAACCTAGCCAAGCTATGACTGGAGAGAGGTCATGGACCCCAGAGGAGAATCTCCTGCCATTTTCCTAAACCAATATAATCTCTAACTGCTTTCTCAATATGGCCTCATCCCCACATATAAATGTGGCTCTCGTTGCTCATCAAAGAAGCTTCTTTCTGCAACAGGTGGAGACCATTACTGCGATCCACAACTGATCCAAATGCAGAGAGTAAGTCACTGTGGGATCCCCCCTCCCAGCTGACACATGTACAGTAGGTATCAGTTACTTAAAGCTCAGGGAAAATGGCTGAAGATGGGACAGAAAGATTGTAGGAGCCAGAGGTCCAGGAACTCTGCTGTTATATTGTGTCCCTCAGACACAACGAGGTCAGTGTACCTGTGAACCTTCAGTCACATGGTTGCCTGAACAAGAGCACTGACATCCCACTGCAGAAATTCCACATGGCCCACTCCTAGATGAAGAGCTACAAGTGGGCGCTGGCTGCTAGGAAGGGCTGGCGGGACCAGTTTTCTCCGCGGATGAGTTCCCACCAAAACCTATTCCATACTTCCCTGGAGACTTGTACGTCTGACCAAAGGTAAACGGGTTGAGTACATTATATATATCTACATATATTTAAAGAAGACAGACTAATTTGGGAGGGGCCAGCGAGGGACTGGAGGGGACATGGGCGGCTGAGAGTAATGCAGATGCAGCACTCATCTATGAAGGACTAGGAAAAAAAAACTGCTAAGAAAAAAATCTATTTTGTAGAGAAAGATTTCCCCGAGGAGATGAAGCTGCATCAGGTTCATGACTTTTCAAGTCATTGCTGGGTAACCCCAAATCCTAAGGCCCCTCCATAAACTGTTTTTCAAAAATTAATTTTATTGGCACTTTCTTTGAAGTTCCAGCTGCTCCCACACCTCAGCTAGAGTGGGGTGGATGGCTCAAGGGGAACACTGGGGCTGACTTTGTTCCAAAGGACCTCCTCTCTACTGGTCCTCAACCTCTAGCCAGTTCTTGACTCTGAGTCCCATCCTTCTTCTGGGGAGGAGTGAAGTCAGAGGGCTTGCACCTCATCAGCAAGTGGTGCCCAGTTCCTGCTCTCTTTACCCAGCTGATGCTTAAGACAGAGTCTTCAGGGAATATTCCGTGGCTATTTGGAGACTCTGGGATTCTTCCCAGGTAGTATATCCCCTGGAGCCTCACACCACACATTACCCAGCTTGGTGGCTGCCCAATCCTGGCTCATAGTGTACACTCACCTCAGCACTCTGGAGTGCACCGGCTCAGTGTGTCTCTGCTGGGACTTGTTTGGCCTGCTAGTTTGGCACAATTAGTTAGGACCTGTGGCAGTTCCACATTAGCATCCACCAGTGCAGTGACTTTGGTCCTCTTGGATTAACCAAGGATTTGATTAATCTGCAAGCATTAACCAAGGATGAACTGCACAGTCTCAGGTCAGCTTTTTCCTAAGTTTGAGGTGAGGGGAAGATTCTAGGGAAACGGATAGGGCTAAAATCACCACCCTCAAGCCCTTCCCAGAGTTGAATGCCTGTGTTCTACTGGTAAACAGTGATTTGCTTCACAATTCACTTGAGGTCAGAAACCTATCTTGAGGCTGTGGCTAACATTACTTTAAGCAATCTATCCTGGAAAGGAAGAGTTTAGTAAGATTTGTACCCAATTCCGTAGCAGCTGGCAACAAAGTTATCATTGTGTGACCTTCATGGCTCACCAAAGAACAACAAAACCAGCAAAAGAAACATTTCCCCCCACCCCGAAATCTTAGAGAAATTTGTCACAGAGATACAATAACAATTTTGTTTAACAATGGCTGATTATTTATTTATTTAGAGTCAAGGTCTCACTATGCAATCCAGGCTGTCCTCTAATTCATGGCAGGCCTCTTGCCTCAGATTCCCAAGTGCTGACATTACAGGCACATACTATTAAACATGTCTTTCTCCATGATTTTGATGAAAAGCATTACAGATGAAGAACATCCTTTTTATGTATGTTTGGAGATAAGGTTCCAACCTTGTGGTCCAGGCTGTCCTCAAACGCACAGTATAGCCTGTGCTGGCCTCTAAATTGCAGGAATCCTCCTGTCTTAGTCTCCAAAATACTGGGATTACAGGTTTGACTCACCACATTTGACATGGAATACTTTCTTTTTTATTGATAGTGGGGGTGGGGGGGGTTTCTAGATAGGGTTTCTTTGTGTGATTTTGACTAGGCTGGGTACTAACGAGAACTGCCTGCTTCTGCCTCCCAGATGCTGAGATTAAAAATGTGTGCTATCACTGCCTGGCATGAAATTCATTTGCTGGGTTACAGTTGATGCTAATTTTCACAGAGTTAAGAGCTGTTTCAAGTTAGGTGGGGGTTGGTATGTTGATGACTACAGCTGAAATAACTTGAGGAACTCTGTCCTTATCGAGGACCAGCGGGCCTGTATTTTCCTGTCTGCAGCAAACAGAGAGATTCTTGTGGGAAGGATCTCCTTCAAATAGGAAGACCAGAAAGCATCCTTGCTGGCCAGAGACTGTTAGATGGGGCTACATGACCTCTTTTTAACAAGCTCCTTGAAGTAATCCTTAACTTCTACTAGCTTCTGTCTCCATCTTTTTGCCTCCTAATACATACGTGTTTGCTCTGCCATTCCTCAGGAATTTATTGTTCTTTGTCTAAGACCGTATACAAGCTCCTACTGTTTTTACTTTTTTTATGTGTATGAAGGATTGCCAGTGTAAGTGTATGCCATACGCGTGTGTCTGCTAAACCAGGCAAGGGTGAGCATTAGATCCCCTGGAGCTTGAGTTACAAGTAGTTGTGAGGGGTCCACTGCCATCCTGGGAACTGAACTTGAGAAGAATAGTAAGTGCTCTTAACTGCTAAGTTACCTCTGGTCAGTTAAAAAACCAAACAAAACTGTTTGTCTGTTTATTTAATGTGTGGTTTGTAACATGCATGTACGCGTACATCACATGCATGCCTGGTGATCTGAGAGGCTAGGAGAGCACCAGATTCCCTGGCGACAGTTGTGAGCTGCTGTGTAGGTCTTCTGGAAGAGCAGCCAGTGCTGACTTCTTGTTTCAAAGCTCAAGACAGAGGTTTTCAAGCAGGGAGTCTAAGGAGCACCAAGAAGTTGTCAATGTACGCACAGCGGATTTGCTTCTCCATATTGGGAACTGAACATGCCAGGCAGCACTAGAACTGTGCTACACCCCCAGCTCAGAATTCACATTTCAGTTCATCATCTTTCCGATATTATATCTGTAACAAAATCTGTAAGTCTATCACAAAGGGACTGTGTGTATATCAAAGCAGCTGAACTTTTTTCTGCAGCCCAAAGTTTTGGAAGACTGAAGCACCAACACAGGGTAGTTTTAGGTTTATGACTTTTAAGCTTTGATGACTGTATTTGAATTGTAATTTCTGGTCTCTCTTTTTCCAAGCCAACACTATCATCTATAGAGCGTACGAATCACAATCCATAAACCCGAGTAACGCTGATAATGGTCAGCGTGGAGCTGCCTTATTGCTAAGGTCCCTTCCCCAGGTTTGGTTGCAGAAATCTCGGGCAGAGTCGGGAACTCTGTGGACTTGTAAACCATACTCCCTGAAGGCACAATCGTAGCTTTTTTTTTTCCTTCCCGGCCGGCGCCCCCCCCACCCCCATCTTGTCTCCGAGAACAAGTTTTGCCGTGTGTCTTAGGCTGCCTTGGAATTAGCTATGTAGCTCACGCCGGCCGGCCGCGGAGAGCGGTCTGAGCTGTGGAATGGAGTTTCTCTGCAAAAGTGAAAAACCACGCTAGTGTGTTTTCTGATCCAACGTGTTAGAGACGAAGGCTTCCGCGGCCTTAAGCCCGGGGACCGGAGCCTCACGGGGGCGGGCGAGCGCGCCGGCGTGCCAAGCCCTCCAGCCGGTGACTTCACCGGCCTGAGCAAGGAAACTGTGAGGTAACAATGGAAGGAGGCTGCGCGCCGCCAGCTCCTGAGCCAGCGTGTGCGGGCGTGGCCCTAAGTAATAAGCAGTCCCCCCCAGCCGCCTCCAGAAGCCGCCGGTCGCCCGCGCGTCCCCGCCCTCGTGAGGTCCTGGCGCCAGCCCTGCCCCCACGAGGAGCGACCCCGGCCACCGAGGCGCGTCCCTCCCAACCGCCCTCCGCTAGGGCACCCCGCCCCCGCTGCCGCGCCGCGCGCCTACTGCGCAGGCGCCTGGCCCGCGGCCGTTGGCGTTCAAAGGCGGCCCGCGCCCTCTCATTGGCGGAGGCCGCGCAGTTGAAAGTCGCTGTGGCGGCGCCGCGGGCTCCGCCTCCGCCGGACACCTGAAGACTCGGGCGAGTGCCTCGCAGTGTCCGCACCAGGCTGCCCGGAGCCATCGCCGTGCGCGTCGTCGCCCGCCTCGCGGTGAGTACGCCGAGGAGACGGCTCGGAGCCTCTCGGTTCCCAAGCGCCCGCTGCCCCGGTGCGTTCGCCGCGGGACTTGAGGATGGGGAGGCGGGCTGGGCTCCGGAGGGCGTGCGCTCGCCTCGCGCGCGGCTGGAGCAGCGGAGCTGCTGGCGGGATCGCGGCCGTAAGGGCTGGTGGGGGAGCCTAGGACCCCGTGGGATGGCGCGGGGCGGTCGAGTCCCCGGCATCCTAGAGGAGAGGGGATGACTGCCATCTTGAGCCACTTCTTTGTTTGGAGTTTACGTAGGACTTATGCCCATTTTACAGATGTGAACCTTCATAGGTAAAACTGACCGGGAGTCCCACAGCATTTCAAAGACAGAACCGAATGTGTTGCTGGGAATAACTTAACGTCAGTAGTTTCGAGCTGGGGAAATCTACGCGCTTGTTTGTTTCTAGTCGTCTTGCTGAGTTTAAGTAAAACGTAGCGGGTCATGGATGTGCTCGCCTGTAACCCCAGTATGAGGGCAGACAGAGGCAGCAGGCTCTCTTGTGAGTTCCAGGTCCTCTGTGAGGACTACGCAATTAGACCTGGTCTCAAAAAACCCCACCAAACCGAAGTATGAGTGTTTAGTGTCTGTCATCTTTACATTGGTTAATCTTGTTCAGACTCAGAGATGCCTTATGTCGTAAAAAGTCCTTTGTGTGGAAATTGTTGGGATTTTTCAAGATGAAATACTTACTGTAGGCAAGATCTGAAACATTAAATTGTTTTAATTTTAGAATAACGAAAGATCTTGGAAGAGTCGGAGAAGATAAAGTATATTCGGTATCTAGATCAGGAGATTGACAGACCAGGTAAGTTCTGGGAAGTTAACTATATATGAAGAAACTAAAGTACATTGCAGTGTGTGATTTCTGGGCTATGATGTAAAATTTAAACTCTCTTGAAAAAAAGATAGATGGTGGTGGTGTAATTTTGATCGTCTTATGGAGGAAGCATAAAGTGAAAATAACCTAATCTAAAAGATTTTTAGTTTTTTGTTTGTTTTTGGTTTTTATCCAAGACATGGTTTCTCTGTGTAGACCAGGATGGTCCCTACCTCAGAGATTCCAGTGCCTTTGTCTCTGGGAATGCTGGGAGTAAAGCCATCACTGCTTGACTAAAGATTTTCACATTTATCTAACATTTTATAAGGATGTGTGTACATCTGAAGGCGTGCACACAAAACGGTATTGCCTTACACGTTTACAGACTGCATTTATTATCAAGCTACCTTTATTAATTGTTGCCCAGTATTACACATTGATTTACATTTCTAGTGAGCCAAGATACTATGTCTTAGCCTGGTAAAGTAAAATGTTGACTTTAGGTAAATATATATATATATATTTAACAAAAGTTTAGAATAAACTTTTCTCAGTCACTAAAGACATGAAATCTTGTGTTGAGACCTATTTTATATACTGTATGTTAATTTTAAGTCTAAAAAAATTTAAGATATTTTAAATTTAAATATATTTAAAGTATTTTAAAGGCAATGTGTATACACATTGCCTTTCAGCATGTATGTTGATAAATATTTTCCATCAAATATATTTTCCCTTTGAAAAAAATATTTTTTGAAAACTGTATTCTATGTATATAAGTACACTCACTGTCTTCAGACACACCAGAAGAGGGCATCAGATCCCATTACAGATGGTTGTGAACCACTATGTGGTTGCAGGGAATTGAACTCAGACCTCTGAAAGAGCAACCATGCCCTTAACCGCTGAGCTATCTCTCCAGCCCTAAGAAATATTTTTTTTTTTTTAAAGATTTATTTATTTATTATATATGAATACACTGTAGCTGTCTTCAGACACACCAGAAGAGGGCATCAGATCTCATTACAGATGGTTGTGAGCCACCATGTGGTTGCTGGGATTTGAACTCAGGACCTCTGGAAGCGCAGTCAGTGCTCTTAACCACTGAGCCATCTCTCCAGCCCCTAAGAAATATTTTTAAAAAATCAGTTAAAGCTATAGTTTCTCATGTCAATTCCTGGTTAAGGTACATTAATAGCTTCTTTCATAGCTTTGTGGAATAGGTTTATATTAAAATGAAACAAAACAAATCAGTAAAGACTTAAAATTAGATATTGCTATAGTATTTTTTAAAAGGATAATTGTATCCAGTACAGTTAGGGCTACAAAGAGAAACCCGATCTCAAAAAAGCAATATATGTATATGTATATATATGAAAATATTTTAAATTTTATAAAATAGGTCTCAACACAAGATTTCATATGTGTCTAGTGACTGAGAAAAGTTTATTTTAAACTTTTGTCTTATGGTCGTATATAAATGGCATAATCATAGCAATTCTCCCCCCAACCCCCTCAAGTCGATAATTTCACACATTAGACTTTTTATCAATTATGGCCACAGGCTGTGCAGCCCAGAAGTGGGTGTAGCACCACCTGAGTTTTCCCAGGCTTCTTGCTGACTCACCAGAAGTCCTGTGGCAAGTCATGGAGCACTGTGGTTTGGGGAACATAATTTCCTTTGAGATTGTAAAATGTAAGTTGACTCTGCACATGGCTTGCAATCTCAGCACTCAGAGGTGGAGGGATTCAAAGTCAGCTTTCCTGTGAGTGCAGTGTGAGGACAGCCTAGAACACATGAGACCCAGTCCAAAAAATGAAACAAAACTAAAAACTAATGAGTATTTTATGACATTCATGTTCAAAGATGAAGAGCAGTTCACTGTTATGAAATAAAATCTCAAAGCACAGGATCAGGAGATGTATTTAATACTGATTGTTATATCTGGAATCCTTGTAGACTCCAGAAGTTCAGTCAGTCTTGCAAAAGGATGAGAAATTTAGAACTGTTTATGTTTAAACACAAGAAATTCGGGCAATAATTTACAAATAGATAATTGAGCCTTGTGTTTCACCTCAGTCTTAAAACAACCTGTTGTCTGATAACCTAAAGCGAAGTGGGTTATCTTGCTTTAATTATCAGTTTTTACTTCAGATTTTAGTACTCATTGGAAGAAAACACATTTCACATGGCTTATTTTTGTTGTTACTTCTTAAAAGCATAACTAATACAAATTGATTAACATTTATATTTTGGCAGAGGAAAGAAAATAGTTAAGAAAAGGTGTCTTAGTTTTTCCTGTATTTATTTATTTTATTTATTTATTTATTTATTTATTTATTTATTTTTTTTTTTGGTTTTTCAAGACAGGGTTTCTCTGTGTAGCCCTGGCTGTCCTGGAACTCACTCTGTAGACCAGGCTGGCCTGGAACTCAGAAATCCGCCTGCCTCTGCCTCCCGAGTGCTGGGATTAAAGGCATGCACCACCACCGCCTGGCTTTTCCTGTATTTTACAATGCATACATTGCCCATTGAAATCCTTTCAGTAAGGTGAGCGCTCAGAGCCAGTGCATATATGCACATTGGTTTGTAATCATCAGTACAACTGATTTTCAGGATCTTTTCATCTTGCCAAAATCTAGTTCTGTCCTCATTACACAGTAGCTGCCTCTCCCCTCCCTAGACTGGAGTCTCTGCCATTCCACTTTCTCTTTCGAGTTTGATACTTGCATTGTTTTCCAAAATTTAATGTGGTTACACTTATTCACCCTCCATTGACTTCACTGAGTGAGTTGTTTCAGGTTTCCTGTTACTCAGTTCACAAGGTTCACTTAGTTATGTTGGAGAGTGAGCCTAGAAGCTTGCTCTGTCACTGATGTATAAGCCCAGCCTAGTCATGGCTGACATCCTTTTAATGTACTCTGCATTCATGTCTGCTAATATAGCTCATTTGCTAATCATATTCTATAAAGTAGCTGTTTTTGGAAATTAGTCTATTTTTAGTTTGTATTATCTCTGCAGGGTTTTGAGATCCTACTATACTGTCTTAAAAATTTGGATGCTTATATTTGTATTCTGGAACAGATGAACAAGAAATTGTTTCATGACCATTTGAAAGAATTCATCATAGACACTTGCCCTGACTTTCTCAGGCCCCTGTCCAAGATCGTACTTTTTAAACTTGTAAAATGTTCCACAGTTTATTTTCCTGGTTCAGTTTTAGTAATTTGAATTGATTTGTTCAATACTTTCAATAGTTCACTTGTTGTAAGGCATCAAATATATTAGTGTGGAGCTATGCAAGATACTCTATCACTTTTGGCCTTTTTTCTCATTTTTGTTCCTTTTCCACATATTTCTTCCTCTTGTCAGTGCATGCTTGTTCCTCTCCTCTTTCGATTACCCCAGCTCAGGAGTGTTGAGTGGCTTTGTTGGGTGTCTGAGGTTCTCACAGTCTTCATGCTTGCTGGGAAGCTGCCACTGCTACAGTTGGTTTTGATGTTATATGTGAATAAATCACACAGGTACAGAATTCTGGGATAATATCTTTTTCCTTCCAGACCTTAGGGACACTTGGTATATTGTTTGCTGGCAGCATTTCTTTTTGCTTCGGATGTTTTCTGGCTGTCTGCTTTTGAATAACAAACATTTGAAAGCTCCAGGAACTTTTTACTAAATACATCTGGCACCTTAGTGCTGTTTTTAAAAATCCAGTTATTCTAGACTTTTTACATAGCATCTGGTTGCTAGGTGTTGTGGTTTGGGTAAAAATGTCCCCCATGGGTTCAGGCATTTGAGATGAATACTTGGTCCCCAGTTGGTATGCAGCCTTGCAGGAAGATAAGTCACTGCAGGGTCGGGGAGTTGAAAGTCTTGCCTCACTTTTAGTTAGTTCTCTGTGGTTCAAGGTCAGATTCTCTTAGCTTCCTGCTCTGGCTGCTCTGCTGTCCTCATTATGAACTCTAACCCTCTGCAACTGTAAGCCAAAATAAACTGTCTTCTTTGAATTACCTTGTCATGGTATTTTATCACAACAACAGAAAAGTTAACTGAAATGCATGGTTTCATAAGGATTATACCTAGAACTCAAAGTATTGCTTCTTGGAGAGTTAGTCATTTGACTTATATAAAATTTCCTGGGGGTGGTAGTGGTAAATAGAGTTCATCTCTAGATAAAAGGAGTAGCAACTAAGTTATATTTAAGAACAGCACGTATAAGGAAGGCTCTAAGGGGATAACTGGTATAAGGAAGGCTCTAAGGGGATAACTGGTATAAGGAAGGCTCTAAGGGGATAACTGGTCGTCTTTTTTTTAAAAAGAACTTACTGTGTTCTTTTTTTTTTTTTTTACTTTGTCATATATTCATCAAAAGTAACTTCAAAGTGAATAAACAGGAAAAACACTGATCCACTACCGTGTGTCACCGGTTTGGCAGACATACAGAAAAAGAGAAATGATCTCTTTTTGAAAAAAGTAAAAACTTCTGGGCTTAATTCCATATTCATTCACACACACACACACACACACACACACACACACACACACACACATATTTTTTTTTTTTTCCGGTTTTTCGAGACAGGGTTTCTCTGTGTTGTCTTGGCTGTCCTGGAACTCACTCTTTAGACCAGGCTGGCCTCGAACTCAGAAATCTGCCTGCCTCTGCCCCCCAAGTGCTGGGATTAAAGGTGTGTGCCACCACCGTCCGGCAGCCTCAAACTTTTAATCCTCCTGCCAACTCCCACTGCTGATGGTGTTTTCTTGGTTTTGCATTGTGTGCTTCTGCCTGGCCACTTGTAAGATTGTCTGTCTTCCTAAGTAGTTAATTTTAGCTTATGCTGATTAAGTGAAACAACCTTTATTAATATAAAAGCTGGTAGCTATCTTTTTTACTCCCTGTTCTTCTTCTTCAAAACCTATCGCCCTCCTCTCCTTATATTCTCTTTCAGTTTTCACTTCTGTGCTTCTTTTTCATTTATTTATTTATTTATTTATTTATTTATTTATTTATTTATTTTCCTGAGACAGGTTCTTAACCATGTGGTTCTGGCTGTCTTAGAACTCACTTTGTAGTCCAGGCGGGCCTCAAACTCACAGGGGTTCCTACTGCTTCTGCCTCCCAAGTGCTGGGGTGAAAAGCTTGCTCTTCCACACCCAGCTTCACTTCTGGCTTTCTATGTAATGTTTTAATGTTGTACTCAATTTCTTTTTCTTTCCATTTTTGGGCTGACAAGATGGCTCAGTGCCTGAGTGCTTGTCAGGTAACCCTGACAATCAGGTTCAGTCCTTGGAAAATGTGGACGAAGGAGAGAACTGACTTTTGCAAACGGTCTCCTCTGACCACATGCTCACCACGCCCCACATGTGTGTTTACTCAGACATCTAAACACATTCAAAAGAGTGAACGTTCGACAGTTTAAGTATAGATCTATTGGCTGTCCTTTAATAAGGAAAATTGTGGTTCTTTTTGCCCCCCTCCCCCAATGTAGTTTTGTCACTTGGTAAATCACTATTTAGTATTTAGGAGTATGTTTAGTATTTAGGAGTATGTTTTCATGGTTTTATGTTTTTTTCTCTTTACCTCTCAGTATGCTCAGACACATTAAAATTCTATCAGTTTTATTGCATGTATGGTGTGTATGTATGTATGCATATATATATGTATATATGTGTGTGTGTGTATATATATATACACACACACACACACACACCTCTTTTGTATTTGTCCTTTGCTTCTACATTGCTTGCACAGTTGTTTTAGTGTTTGCTTTTCTGTTCTCTTGGTAAGACTTCCTTTATGCCTTCAGTAGCATCTTTAGAAAATCCCCTGTCCCCATCCTTGTGTGGGGGATTTTAAAGTTTACTTGTCTGTTAGTATATACCACATGAGTCTAATGCCCATGGAGGCCAGAAGAGGGGACTGTATCCTTGGAGCTGGAGTTAAAGGCTTTTGTGAACTGTCTGATATGGGCACAGGGAATTAAACTCTGGGTCCACTGAAAGAGTAGTAGCAAGTGTTCTTAACAGCTGAACTGCTTCTCAGTGCTCAGTAGTTTATTTTTGAGAAGCTGTCTTTATTATCAAAGTAGATTTTTTTTTCTTAGCATGGAGTTTTGAGTTCCCTAAAGGAAGCTTGTTGAAGGGAAGGCATTGATTGTTTCATTGTCTTGTAAAGTCCAGTGCTGCCATGGATGCTTTTATTGTTGGTATTGATACTTTGTTTGCAAACTTCTTATAACTTAAAGTTGAGCTGTTGGGTCTACAAATAGATTCTCAGACACAGTCATTCACCCCTCCCATCCCCCAAATCTTTGAGTGTCTGTCTGTGCAAATGTATAAGTTGCCCCCCCCCCCCTTCCAGAGCATGTGTGGTCAGAGGACAGTGTCCTCCTAACTTGAGACCGAGTCATTTTTTCACCTCTGCCTGAGTGCTTTATTGATATGTACTATGTTCAGCTTTTCATGGGTTTTGGGGATCCAAACTCAGATTCTCAAGCTGGGATGGGAAATGGTTTACCCACTGAGCCATGCCCCCTGCCCCCAGCTTCCTGTGAGAGATCTAAAATAGAACTGTGAAGATTTAATAATACTAGAACTGTTTAACATGTATGCAGACTTGTCCTAAAATCTATTTTGTTTTTGCAGTTTTACTACCAGATATTAAATCTGGATTGAATGTGTTATGTACATTGCTTACATTTTCTGTATTCCATCATTGTGTATTTTGACATCATTGAAGTACTCAGAGAAATATGTTTGTTTTTCTTGAGTAATTTCTGTATGACTTCACAGATCTCTATGGGTGTGGGTGCAGGTTGTAAAGGCTTTTAAACATGCATTCACTTGCATTTCTTTTCAGTGACTGTTGTCTTCTGTGCTGCCACCCAGTCATTACTTTCCTGGAATCCTAGACAGGTCATGACTTGATTTCTACATGCTACAACCTGACTCCTTATTGTCATGGTATATTTTCTGATAGGCTCTTCGTTGCTTCTAACAGATTTTATTATTAAAAAGAAAAATAAAAGTCTAGATTGCTATTAAAACTACTACTGTTTAGATATTATTTCTGACCTTATAGGAAGCTTACATTCTAATACATAAATGTTATAAAATTCTTATAAAATCTTAAGTGCTTGAAGTAAACTTAGTCTATCCAGTTAAATTTACAGAGGCACCTGATCTAGGGATGCAGCAGTGTCACAGAAGGTGGCTAAGGAGCTAAGGGCTAAACAGATCTAAAAGGAGTTTAAAAAGAACAATTAGGCAGGGCGGTGGTGGCACACGCCTTTAATCCCAGCGCTTGGGAGGCAGAGGCAGGCGGATTTCTGAGTTCGAGGCCAGACTGGTCTACAGACTGAGTTCCAGGACAGCCAGGACTACACAGAGAAACCCTGTCTCAAAAAAAAGAACAATTAGTCATTTCTAAGTGCTATTGTTACAAACTTTTTTTTGGTGGTGTTGGGGGCTGATTGCAGGACCTCATGCATGCTAGACATCACATCCTACTATTGAGCTATATCCCCAGCCCTGTTTTTTTTTTTTTTAAAGATTTATTTATTTATTATTTATGAATACACTGTAGCTGTCTTCAGACACACCAGAAGAGGGCATCAGATCTCATTACAGATGGTTGTGAGCCACCATGTGGTTGCTGGGATTTGAACTCAGGACCTCTGGAAGTGCAGTCAGTGCTCTTAACCACTGAGCCATCTCTCCAGCCCGCCCAGCCCTGTTTTTATGAACTTAATTTGGGACTGGTTTTATATAGAATTTTTGTCAGCCTTTATACTTTACGTAAATAGCATCTAGGATTTTGTTTCCTTGTTTAAACAGTGATATATACTTGATTTTTTTCCCCTGCCAAAGGCTAGGTAGTTTTTTGAAGGCTTGCATTGTGAATACAAAGGAAAACTATAAAAGTGGGCTGTAAAACTGCCAGCCTCCACTCTCTACCTATTCTCTCTTCCCTTCTTCCTCTTTGTCCTCCTGTTCTCTGCTTCTGTATCCCCCCCCACCCCCCAGGTCCCAAATAAACCCTTTATATTTAAAAAACAAAACCAAAACTGCCAGCTTCTGTTGGAGTCTCTGAACTATTCCTGTTTTTTTTTTTCCCCCTTTCTTCCTGTGTTTTAGGGATATTCTCAAAATACATGTTAAAAAAGACTTATTTTTAGCTGTGTGTGTGTTGTGATGTGCAGGTATTGGTAAAGTGTCAGATTCCCTGGGGGTGGTTTGTAGGTGGTTACATATAAGCCCCCTGATGTGCTGGTAACTAAATTCTGGTCCTCTGGAAGAGCAAGTTTACAGTCATAACCACTGAGCCATCACAGCTTTTCCCTTTCAAATTTTTAAGTTAAAATTACCACTTTAGAATGCTGCAGCAAAGGTCTGGATCTGTGAAACTTGTGTTTGCTTAGCATGTACAAGGCTTTGAGTTTATTATAGCACCAACAAGAAAAATAGAAAAAGAAATAGGAATTGCTATGTGCTGATGTTAATAGTATCAATTTCTAGAGAAGCCAAATATAACTTGTAAGAAGCTATGGTTGAGCTAGTTGTGATTCCTCATACCTACAACCCTAGCATTTATCTCAGAAAAAAAAAAATCACAGATAACATTCTCCCTTTAAATTGAATAATTTTGCTAAGCCTGTTATACAAATGTTTATTTAGTCTTGCCCTTGCCTATTCATTACATGTGCAGTTTTACTTTGGTATCTAGGAAGCTAAGACTTGCATATAGTAATTGTAATTATTAAGTAGATTTCAACTGAATTTTACTTACGTCTTTATCACAGTTTGACTAATTTGGAGTATTTCAAATTAGGGATTTTGTTGGAAAGTAATACTTTTAAGATGATGTACTTACTCTGTATATATTAGGAGTTGAATTACAAAGAAAGTGCCAATTGCCCTCAATGCTTTTCTTTTAAATGGTGAATACAGTATGTTACTAATTTGAAGGGCATGTCTAAAATCTTACAAATGTGCCAGATGTGTGCTACATATAGACTTAAATTTTTTTTGTTTTGACAGGAAATGCATAATTTTGAGGACGAGTTAACGTGTCCCATTTGTTATAGTATCTTTGAAGATCCCCGTGTACTACCATGCTCTCATACATTTTGTAGAAACTGTTTGGAAAATGTTCTTCAGGCATCTGGTAACTTTTACATATGGAGACCCCTGCGAATTCCACTCAAGTGTCCTAACTGTAGAAGTATTATTGAGATTGCGTCCACTGGCATAGAATCCTTACCTGTAAACTTTGCATTAAGAGCAATTATTGAAAAGTACCAGCAAGAAGACCACCCAGATGTTGTCACCTGCCCTGAACATTACAGGCAACCATTAAATGTTTATTGTCTACTAGATAAAAAATTAGTTTGTGGCCATTGTCTTACTATAGGCCAACATCATGGCCATCCTATAGATGACCTTCAAAGTGCCTATCTGAAAGAAAAGGATACACCTCAGAAGTTGTTTAAACAATTAACCGACACACACTGGACAGATATCACTCGCCTTATTGAAAAGCTTGAAGAACAGAAATGTCATTCTGAGAAAATAGTTCAAGGAGATAAGGAAGTTGTTCTCCAGTATTTTAAGGAGCTTAGTGATACATTAGAACAGAAAAAAAAATATTTTTTGGCAGCTCTCTGTGATGTTGGCAAGATGATCAATAAAGAATACACTCCACAGATTGAAAGAATGAAGGAGATAAAGGAACAACAACTTGAGTTAATGACAGTGACAACATCTTTACAAGATGAGTCTCCACTTAAATTTCTTGAAAAAATTGATGATGTCCGCCAACGTGTGCAGATGTTGAAACAGAGACCACTTCCTGAGGTCCAGCCTGTTGAAATTTATCCTCGAGTAAGCAATGTATTAAAAGAAGAGTGGAGCAGAACAGAAATTGGACGTCTTAAGAAAGCTGTCATTCCTGAAATGAGAATTTCTTCAAAAAGAATGCCATGTTCCTGGCCTGATAAGGATGAAAAAGAAATGGAGTTTTTTAAAATTTTAAACATTACTATAGTTTCACTCATTTCAGTGATACTAATGTTGATACTCTTTTTCAACCATCACATAATAACCTTCTTAAATGAAATCACTTCAATATGTTTCTTTGAAGTCTTTTTCTCTCTTTACCAAAGTTTATCTAAGAACTTGTATGATTTAAAAAATACAATATGCTACACTTTATATTTGTTAAAGGAGTTTATATGCAAAATAGTTTCTGGTTGAAAACCTACATTAACAGCTTTATGTGGGCTTATTCTGTATAGCAGAGGCTAACTATTGATTGCTAGATGGTCCATAAGTAGCAAATAAACTTTATATCTGTTATAACAGATATACAGGAATATGATAAACTACTTCCCATGGATGGGTAGGAAGTGCTGTCAGAAATGAGACATCTGAAAGATGACTAAAATCAAATTTGAAAATGGCAAATTTTAGTTTGAATATTAATCTTACCCTGTTTTTATTGGCTTTCTAGTAAATCTTTATTTTATTTTAAATTAACGATGCTACAGTGGTTAACTTGCAGTTCTTTGTATATGTAGATAGATCTTTAAAAACTGACAAGATCCTTAAGGTCCACAAGCCTATTGTGATATGATCTGAAGCTTTTCAATGTATAGATGGAGATTATATATAAGTTGTTTTAAAAATCCAAGCCAGGATTGTTTAAACATCTTTTTTGGTCAAGCCCAATAGATGTAAGAGTATTCATCCCAAGTAGCACTGCTTGCTGCTTTTGGATAAATCAACTGTGTCTAGCATACTGAGTTTAATTCAGCCTTGGTATCAGTAAGGTCTCAAAAACCAACCAACCAAAAAAGTTCTAGTGCTAGAGACCCCTGCCTGATCTGCTGGCTCCAGCATTACAAAGCAAACCAAGTACATATTTTGATTTTGTGGTGTTTTAGTCTTGATTTTAGATGAAAACTGTATGAAACATGTATATTGAGACAATCATGTTGGTGTGATTCATTTAATAGATTTGGTATCATGTAAACTATATTCATCTTAAAATGGTCTCCCCTTGTAGCTTAAGCACTGGGATTGTAAGTATGAGCTGCTGCTGTACCTGTTTAGTTTTAAAAGGTCATTAAGTCAGAACTTTTAATTTTGCTCCCTTGACATGGACTACCATGATACATGTGGTAGAACTATGGTTCACTGCCAATGAAATCTGAAACACAATGTTTTCTAGAAACCCCAAATGAGGTGAATTACCACCTCTGGGGACTTTATTTCAAATAAAAGTTATATTTAAGAACAATGCTGACAAGTTTTAATTCCACTTATCTAGCACAGTTACTATATACTGAGACCATTTTGAAGATGTAATTAATGGAGGTGAAGGGAAATGTTCAGTTTTTAACAGACACATATGCCATATTATGAGTGCTGTTTTTTAAAATTTCATTTTTTTTGAGAATAGGTTTCTCTGTATAGCCTTGGCTGTCCTGGAACTCACTCTGTAGATCAGGCTGGCTGGGAACTCAGAAATCTACCTGCCTCTGCCTCCCAAGTGCTAGGATTAAAGCATGAACCACCACTGCCCAGCTTTTTTCTAATGTAAATATTAACAGTCGAAGAACAATTAGCCTAATACATTTTTCAAGGGTTACTAATTTTGTATAGATGAGGAAACAAAGTAGTGAAGTGCCAGTGTTAGGTGGGAGAGCTCACTTTTTTATGCTTAAAAAAAACTGGAGTAGGCTGATGTAATTAACTGAAACTTTATTTCAATCTAAGAAAGCATATGCTTGACAATTTTGAGTATACAACATTTTTGTGTTGATACACTTACTGCTTTATATTTTTACTAGGAGGTTGAATTTGTACAACTTGAAAGAACATACATTTGGAAATTCTGGGTTTTATGTGTAACAGTATATTTTAATAAACTTGGTATTTTATTGAATGTCTTAGAAAGTGGTGGCATACTTTTCATATGGATTCTGGCTATTCTTAATTGAAAACTCCATCAAATAATTTTATTTCTACTTCTATAATGTTAATGTATTTAATATTATAGTTTTATATATGAGTCACGATTCGTGGTGGGAGTGTTTGACTAATAAAGCAAAAGACTTGAGAAAGGGAATTCTTGACTGAGCCCAGGGATCAAAGGTGTTAACCAAGCCTGCCAATGACGGATCCCTTCAAATTCCTTCTGAAAATGTTGCCAACTTCTGTAATGTTAGGTTAGCAGAAGTAAGTTGGTAGCATTACTTTAGTATACTGGGGTGTGATTGACCTATAGGATTGTAAACATTTGCTGTTCCACTGTAATTCATAGGTTCTCTGAATTTGGCGTTTATGGATTAGCCTACCTAGGTAGCCCACAATCCCCAGTGATGATCCTGTCTGCCTCTATGACCCTGGAATTACAAGGAGGGTTACAGAAATAGAGATGGTGGAATACTTGTAATACCTACTATGGCAGGAGAATCCAGAGTTTGAGGTTGGGTGGGCTACACTGAACACTGTCAAACAGCCGCCCAACAACAATGAAAAACCTGAAACCAGTGAAGATCCCTTATTTCTATAGTACAGAAATGGATACAATTTTTAAAAGATATTATCACTCAAAACGTCATACAATTTAGAAAAAAATTATTTATACAACTTATAATCTTTTTACAATCTTTTACAGACAAAACCAGAAACACCAAATCCAAGTAAATTTGAAAATTTTCAGTATGAACAATTTCAACAGAGTCCTTTAGATGCAATTTCTTTTGGGTTCACTGCAACACTTTTTGTAATATTGTATGTTTTATAGATGCCAATAAGTCTATCTGAAATCTCAAACATATTATTTCGAAGAGAGATTATTATGAACTGGGCATTTTTTGTTTGCTCCTAAAAAGAAAAAAAGAAATAACAGTTAAGTCAGAATAAGTAGGCCAACATGACCCTCCCCCCATATAGTTTGTGGACAGTAATTCTGACATAGATGACTAACATATAGTAATGACTTCATGGATAATTCATGAAAAGTGTGGAGACTGAGGAATTCGAGTATTTTTAAAAGAAAGACTGCAAGCCTAGAAGGAAAAACCTGACAGTCTGATTTAAAAAAAAAAATCCCAATAGTAAGAAATAAACCACAACATTCCCATACAATGATTTACTCACATATATGTAAAATGCAACAATAGACACATTTTTAAAATCCAGAGCTGCATCAATCTCATCCATGAAGTAGAGGGGAGTGGGCTTGTAGTGGTGAAGAGCAAACACTAAGGCCAACGAACTAAGGGTTTTTTCACCTCCTGAAAGGTTAAAGATCTTCTTCCAACTTTTCTTAGGTGGCCGAACACTGCAATAAAAAAAATGTTACTTAAATACTTTGTAAAACTAAGGCTAAGACTTTATTAATTACTTCCCACAACTAACATCAATCACTTTTTTCTTGCTAAATATGTAAGTTGCTTTTCACAATTATTTTGGATGTTAGTTTCCTGAATAGGGTGATTTTTAGTATGTAATGACTTTTAAAAGTTGTGATCTTCCTGCTTAAACTAGTTGAGTGGTGAGATTAGCTGTACACATCCCATGGCCTGGCTGTTGATCTTCTTTTAAAAAATCTAGCTTGTTTTATAACATCAAAATTTTAAGATTTAAACTGTAGCCTATTTTCTTTTAACCATTTTGGAAAAAAAACCATTTTATTTTGGTGTTGATAGAGGTCTTTCTGCCTTGTCTGTGAGTCATTTCATTGGTGCATTAAGCCTGGCTACCTAGCTTGTGAGTCTGTCTATGTCCATCTCCCTGAAGGGGCATGCTGGGACTATTGATGTTATATTATTGCATCTAGCTTTGATTTTAAAAGATGAATTAAGACATTGTATAACATACTTTGCACATATTTTATGCTGCAAATATGAAAATACATTTACTACCAAATAAAACCTTCACACACTCAAGAAATGTTAAGAATTTGGAAAATATGCAGGATTAAAATCTCACAAACCTGAACATGATTCCTTCAGAAAAAGGATCTAAACTATCCACAAGCTCCAGTTCAGCATCCCCTCCCAAAGTGAGCATCTGGTAGTTTTCTTTTAGTTTATTTGTTATTACATAAAAACCAGCCATGAATTCATTCAGCCTTTGTTTTCGAAGATCTTCATATGCTTGTCTAAAATTATCTCTTTCAGAAGTAATTTTGTCCAGTTCAGCTACTCTTTGCAAATATAAGTCTTCCTGTGAAGATTGTAAAACAAAAAAGCAAAGCCCCTTTTCACATACAAATCTGAGAATTAGCACAGGTCATTAAGCAAAATACCAAATTTAGGCTCAGCAAAATTTCTATTAGAAATAGTTCACTCATACCTTTTTTTTATACTCAGCGACAGCACCAAGGTTTGGTTTCATTTCACGACACTGAGCTTCCAAAAGTGCAATTTGACTTGTTATAGAATCTGGATTCTTGATTGCCTCAAGGTCCTCTTGGCTTAGAACTGATACTGTCTCAACAGGTTTATCTTCAATGGGATGCAATTTTATTTTTGAAATCTAAAGAGAATTGAGAAGACGTAAGAACAGGTCGTTTATTTTTATTTGTGCATTGGTGTGTTGGTGCATACAAGTGTGTAGATAGATGCCATATACACCTAAGAGAGCACCAGATCCTGTGGATCTGGTGGAGATAAACCAGTTGATATGGGTGCTGGGGACCAAACTGGGTCCTCTGCAAAAGCAGCAAGAGCTTGTAACCACTGGGCTATCTATCTCGACTGCTCCCAGCTTAAGTCAACAGCATGAAAAATGACAGCTACAAAAACAGTATAGGAATGAACAGACATAAGCTCCGGGGTGGGTAGGTACCTGCCCTATTCTAATGATTACTAATTTCTATCTAATAATTTAGTCTTATATCCCATATAAATGTGAAAACATTTATAATCAGAACATATTTTAATAGAAAAACACCCAAAAAGCTTTATTATTATCTATGCATTGATGTATGGTCACCACAGATTCTCTTGAGTTAGAACTGTTGTGATCTGTCATGTGTTACCAGGAATCAAATCTGGGTCTTCTACAAGAGCCATCTCTCCAGCCCCCGAAAAAGGTCTAAAATTAATTAAATGCCAGAAATCTTACCTCTTTTTGCCAGTATTTTATTTTTGAGTTATGTTCAGAAATGTGGCCATCTATCTGCTCAAGTTTTAACTTAATACTAAGTGCATCTTTCTGAAGAGCATGTTCATTTTCTTGAATAACTTTTAGTTCCTGAAGTAGATTACGATGTTCTTTCTGGATTTCTGGTAAGGACATCTAAAAACCAAGAAGTGTGACAAATACCTTATCAAACAGGCATTTTTACATTACATAGTCATTGTTAGCAGTTCCTCTTCCTGTCCCACTGTAATAATTTTAATTCACAGAAAGTTTAAATTCACAGTTAAGAAACCTTTTAACTTATAACCGGCATTTGAATTGCTCCAAGTGTCATCCACCCTGTAATGAGACAGACATCTTACCTCTGCAGTTTTTGTGTTTTTTATGACCTCTTCTGCATTGTCTTCAATATTTTTTAGTTCTGTTTTTAAGTCATTTATTTCTTTTTCAGTGTCTTTTATTTCTTTCTCTGTGTTGCAAACAGAATCCTGAGCCTTTTTAAGATTTCTAAAAAGCAAACACAATTTATGACATGTGTTTTAATGAACCATCCTTACTTTTTTATGCTTATACAAATACTTGTAGTTTTATGTTTTATTAAAATTCCATAGAGCTTAATAAAACCCCCTTATGTATGCTTCTAGTAGACTTTGAGGTCACTACCTATTATTATATTATAAACTTTTGACATTCAACAAGGTTTGTTTCAGACATGGTCATTCTTTGAACTCAGGTCTGAGTTTGGGGCTCTCTGTGATTACAGGTGTATGCCACCATGCCCAGACAAGTGAGTTCCAATTGTTTTCCCCTCAACTCACTCACACATACTTTCTGCTCCTAACAAATGATTTAGCAGCTCCTTAACTTTAGCCAAATCATTCAACAGATAATACAAACTTTAAGAAATAATCGTAAAAAGATTTGATTTATGGCTCATGCTTACTGTTTATGGCTCTCCACTTCCTGTTTTTGTTAAGACCGAGCTCTGCTACATCTACTCTGCCTTGAATAACTGGGTTATGATATGTAAACCCCAGCTTTTCTAAAGCATACATGTTTACCAGTTTGTTGTATGCATGTGTTTTTTAAGTTGGAGACAAATAATAAATTTTCATTTTAAACTTTTCTTTTTGAAAAGTGTTGCTGGGCAATGGCAGGCAAATGTTATGGATAACAACCAGTGCAATGTTAAACACTCCTCCAGATGTCCAGTTAGGGTGAGGGCAGACTAGGGGAAGTACACTCTACCTATCAGCAGTCTTGATTGCGACTTGGGCTTTGGTAATAGCAGAAGCACATTCATCCAGCTGCTTATTTATTGTGTCAAGTTTGTTTTGTTGGGCCTTGAGTTTTCGATTGTTGATATCTATGATGGTATCGTGTAGCCGTTTAATCTCAGCTTCAACTTTCCCAGCTTTCTTAGCCACAGCATCATATTCTGAAATTAAATAATAAAATAGCCAAACTCACTTTTCTATATTGTTAGTAATACTCAATCCAATACAGGGTATCAAATATCAAGGAAAAGACCTAAAACACTTAAAGCAACAATATTCTAATACACAGCGTTAAACTCTGGTTAAGCTGTTAACATCTCTTAGTCATTTTACATTCTCACCTTTTCTTAAAGTACTTCATGAATATTCACTTCATGCCTTTTACCCTAGGACTAGCCTTTTTCAGGTCTGGAGAAGCTGGGTATTTTCTTTTGTTTAAACAGTCCTCCACAGTATAACAAAGTGAAGGACACAAGATGAACTGGTGGCTTTTCCTGGTCTAAAGACACTT